AGGGCGGCGGGATCGGTGGCGGAATTCTGGGAGCGCTGACTGGCGGAAACTCGACGAGCGGATGGGGCGCGGGAGGCATAGGGCTGCTACGACTGGCACCGCAGCGCTGACGCTTGTCAAAGCAGAAAAAAGGCCGCAGAAGTGGAAATGGCGAGTTATTGGGAGTGAGGGCTGAAGTTTTCTTGACTCGAACTCAGATAAGCAAGAGCCTTGGTGCTCTAGCGGGGTGGTGAGCAGGGCAACTTCGCTGCTGTGCTGGTTCACCAGGCAAGCTTCAAATTGCGAAGCTTGCAAGGTGACAACGGTTGTGATTCGTCGCCTCGATGGCTCACCCGCCGCCACCTCTCATATCGTCAAAGAAGGATGTGCACCAGCTGCGGTGGCAAAAGCGTGAGCAAGGATTGGTTGCAAAGGAAATTGCCGCGACAGCTGTCAAGTGTAGCCTTACAACATTTCAGCTACCCAGAGGAGGGTCGCGTGGATATCTCGTCAGTAACAAGCAGAAGAGTCAAGATGTACAATATTGTGTGCTTACATACAGATTACATTTCAGAAGGTGTCTCACAGACATTCCATATTGAAAGCCACAGAATTGGCTAAGTGTTGGGATTTTTTTTTACGGTGTTTTTTTAATGCTCATTATTTATTTATGTATCCTTTACCATACTACAATCGAAAACTTTGCAAAACAACACTTTTAAGAGTGGTTTGTGGCTCCAAATGCCCGCCTATTCAATACCTTTCAAGGGTGGTAACCACTTGGTGTGTGGTCCAAAACATCATTTTGATGGCTCTACCGTTTCCCTTGGACCTCCTCTACTGTTCTGGAATGGAAAGTTTTTTTGGTGAAATTCGGTGAAACCAACATATCAAGCTATACCAACAAAGCTCCTAGCACTTGACAACTCATTCTCTGGCTATCATTAACATGTGTTAATTTCAAGGATGTTAATTTGGGGTTCAGAACTATGTGCTGCGTCTATGACCTACTATGGTGGCAGTCTTCATCCATATGTTTGGTTGTTTCACTACCGTGCATGATATTTCGACGAAATTGCATGTTTTTACGACAAACAAGCGTCACGTGCTGTGTAGTTGTGCGAATGAACTCAAACCAGTTCCTATGGCTAGTGAAATGGATAAACTAGGGAAATGTGTGAAGAAATAGTGCTAAAAACAACATATAGACGATGAAACAGTGACATGTTGCGTACTGGCCTATCCTTGCACAGATTCAGGCCATCAAACGTGCAAACAAGCGTCACGTGCTGTGTAGTTGTGCGAATGAACTCAAACCAGTTCCTGTGGCTAGGGAAATGGATAACCTAGGGAACTGTGTGAAGAAATAGGGCTAAAAACAACATATAGGCGACGAAACGGTAGCATGTTGCGTACTGGCCTATCCTTGCACAGATTCAGGCCATCAAACGTGCAAACAAGCGTCACGTGCTGCGTAGTTGTGCGAATGAACTCAAACCAGTTCCTGTGGCTAGGGAAATGGATAAACTAGGGAACTGTGTGAAGAAATGGGGGTGGAACCATCACCCAGACGGTGAAACGGTGACATGTGGCGCACGGGCCTGTCTTTGCACAGTTCCCTGGCATCGTACGCACAAACAAGCGTCACGAGCTGCGTAGTTGGTCGAACGATGCGAAACAACTTCCTTTGGCCTTGTAATAGGTCCTTTTAGGAAACAGTGTGAAGAAACGGGGGTGGAACCATCAACCAGACGACGAAACGGTGACATGTTGCGTACTGGCCTATCCTTGCACAGTTCCAGGCCATCAAACGCACAAACAAGCGTCACGTGCTGCGTAGTTGTGCGAATGAACTCAAACAAGTTCCTATGGCTTGGTAATTGTTCCTACTAGGGAACAATGCAAAGAAACGGGGGTGGAACCACCATCCAGATGGTGAAACGGTGACATGTTCAGCACGGGCTTGTCTTTGTACAGTTCCCTGGCATCGTACGCACAAACAAGCGTCACGAGCTACGTAGTTGGGCGAACGATGCGAAACAACTTCCTTTGGCCTTGTAATAGGTCCTTCTAGGGAACAGTGTGAAGAAACGGAGGTGGAACCATCAACCAGACGACAAAACGGTGACATGTTGCGTACTGGCCTATCCTTGCACAGTTCCAGGCCATCAAACACACAAACTAGCGTCACGTGCTGCGTAGTTGTGCGAATGAACTCAAACAAGTTCCTATGGCTTGGTAATTGGTCCTACTAAGGAACAGTGCAAAGAAACGGGGGTGGAACCATCACCCAGATGGTGAAACGGTGACATGTGGCGCACGGGCTTGTTTTTGCACAGTTCCCTGGCATCGTACGCACAAACAAGCGTCACGAGCTGCGTAGTTGGGCGAACGATGCGAAACAACTTCCTTTGGCCCTGTATTAGGTCCTTCTAGGGAACAGTTTGAAGAAACGGGGGTGGAACCATCAACCAGACGACGAAACGGTGACATGTTGCGCACGGGCCTGTCTTTGCACAGTTCTCTGGCATCGTACGCACAAACAAGCGTCACGAGCTGCGTAGTTGGGCGAACGAGGTCAAACGAGTTCCTATGGCTTGGTAATTGGTCCTACTAGGGAACAGTGCAAAGAAACGGGGGTGGAACCATCACCCAGACGGTGAAACGGTGACATGTGGCGCACGGGCCTGTCTTTGCACAGTTCCCTGGCATCGTACGCACAAACAAGCGTCACGAGCTGCGTAGTTGGGCGAACGATGCGAAACAACTTCCTTTGGCCTTGTAATAGGTCCTTCTAGGAAACAGTGTGAAGAAACGGGGGTGGAACCATCACCCAGACGGTGAAACGGTGACATGTGGCGCACGGGCCTGTCTTTGCACAGTTCCCTGGCATCGTACGCACAAACAAGCGTCACGAGCTGCGTAGTTGGGCGAATGATGCGAAACAACTTCCTTTGGCCCTGTATTAGGTCCTTCTAGGGAACAGTGTGAAGAAACGGGGGTGGAACCATCAACCAGACGACGAAACGGTGACATGTTGCGCACGGGCCTGTCTTTGCACAATTCCCTGGCATCGTACGCACAAACAAGCGTCACGAGCTGCGTAGTTGGGCGAACGAGGTCAAACAAGTTCCTATGGCTTGGTAATTGGTCCTACTAGGGAACAGTGCAAAGAAACGGGGGTGGAACCATCATCCACACGGTGAAACGGTGACATGTGGCGCACGGGCCTGTCTTTGCACAGTTCCATGGCATCGTACGCACAAACAAGCGTCACGAGCTGCGTAGTTGGGCGAACGATGCGAAAAAACTTCCTTTGGCCTTGTAATAGGTCCTTCTAGATAACAGTGTGAAGAAACGGGGGTGGAACCATCAACCAGACGAAGAAACGGTGACATGTTGCGCACAGCCCATCCTCGCACGGATACTAAGCATCCAATGCACGAACAAGCGTCACGAGCTGCGTAGACCGAAGTAACCTATTGTGTGATTATAAAATGCTAAAAACACAATTATATACAAGAATGATGATACATCGACTACGACCAAGCATTTAATAATTTTAGAAAACGTGTCAAATAGTTAATAATATAATAAAAGTTTGCATAAAAAGCATTGGCAAGATATTGGCAATGTTCACACTAGCATTGGCAAGATATTTGTTTCACGAATATCTCAATATCCACCGAATTATAATACCATGCGGGTTGACAAAAAAATGTAACATTACCAATTTAAGTTTAATAGCACTGTTTGTTACAACTTCATGAAATATGAAAAGCGCGATGAACAGTTTGTTACCACGAAACCATCCAGCTGGGCCTGCGGAGTTGACTTCAAGTGCCCAGAAACACGCGCACCACTTCGAAAAACACGCAACACCCTAACAACACTCCCACGAATCATGCGAGCAACATTCTCGAGGAAATGACGGAGCGCCGTGCTTTCTAGTTTCCAATTCCAATGGGCAGTGGTTTTGACAGCATATCGCTCCGCGCTCGCGTCCATTACCTTCGGGCATATTATTTCTCCGTTTCCCCCTTTTAGTCCACAAATACAGATTGTTTTTATGTTACGGGATATTCCAAAAATATTCGTCGCCGAGTCCATAGCAAACGCGCAGCTCGGGACAAAAAAAAATATAACCCTCATGGATGGTATGCCACGTAGAGGGCATCAACCCTAAACACCATGAGGCAAGGTGTTTAGGGTTGATGCCTCCCAAATTGCTTGTCATCCGAGTGGGTTTTAGTTTTGCCACTGGCCTCTATACTGACACCAGGTAGACTTCGTATTTTCCCTTCTATACGATTGGTCACGAAAAATGCGAAATTGCAATAAGAACTGCCAGCGGGAATTGGGCGCGAGCGCGAAGGGAGTCGCTGTCAAAGCCACTGCCGAAAGGAATAGAAAACGCGCAAACACGGCGGTTCGTCATTTCCTCAACATTCTCGCATGATTCCCAACCCCTGAAAGACGAGGAAGATGCAAACAAGATTCGCGCATGTCACAATCCCCTCCCCCCTGTTTTGCGATGTCCCCTCGCCACCAAGCACGGCGACGCCATCTCAATGGAAAAGGTAAGCTCTCTTCTCTCACTTCAAGCTCTCGTTGATCTTTCCATTTCAGTTACTTTCCCGCACCAATCCATCTTTGCTCCCACCCACCATTGCTTTCATCACCCCGCTGCTTGTCACTGGGTCATCAATTTTGGGGATCGATTATATGGCACGTCACGTTTCGCGAGCTACTTGTCTGAAGCAGTTGCTTGGATACGCGTCGCGTATCGCGTCTCATTTCTTGCAACTTATCTTCTCGAATCCATCTCGCATTCAGTCTCGCGTTTAGATTTCGCGACTCATCGTGGCCCATCAATCTTGCTATCTTCCCTTTACAGATCGATTTCGAGAGCTGTGTCGCTGGCGCACGCGGTGGTGGTGAGCGAAGGCAGGCGAGTAGAGCCCAAGAAGCAACGGCAGGCGGACGTGGGGCAGCGAGCAAGCACCTGAGGCAGCATTAAAATGGCCCCCGTGCCTCAACCACAACCACCTGGCGGCAGCAGAAAGCAGCCACATGGTCAGCTAAGTGCTTTCTCCTCCATGCACCACGCATGCATCCCACATCACTGCCCCTCTGCACGTTTTTCATTCCGTTCGTCCATCAAAACGCGGCCACTGGTGGCAGCACAGGGTACAGCCCACAGGCCCTCCTTACTTCAGGTAAAGCCTCCTCCAGGTGAGTCTCCTCAGGTGAACCTGTCAGGTAAAGCCTTTTCTCACTGCAGGTATTAACCAGTCCTTGGGTCTGTGGCTTGTTACTCTTGCCTCCACCAGTGGCCCCTCCTCAGCTATTCCTCCCTCACCCCTCATGCATCCTCTTCCCCTCACTACCCTTCCATGCACATCCCTCGCCTCTTCCTCACCTTCCCCTCCCGCTCCCCCCCGCCCCTCCGCCTTCCCCTCCTCTCCCCCTCTCCCTCCCCTTCCCCCTTCCTCCCAGCAGCGCACGAGCCGTGCTGAAGTGCGTGCAACGAGCTGCTGCCTCCCTCCCCCTCAGTGCTGCAGCGCGAGTGACACGCCATGCCATGCCTGCTGCCCATGCTCCTTCAACTGCCTCCTGCTCTCACACCATCAGCTAAGTGCCTATTTCTCCTCCCAACCCTCGCATCGTCTTGCTTCTCATGTCTAACTTGTACCATGCATCCAACTCCCTTCCTTGCTGCTCTCTGTCACACTCAAGAGACCTCCCTCTTCCAAGGTAGCACGTTCAAAACTTTGGTACAGACTCAGGTATCTGATTGTTTATGGTACAGCTGGTACGAGGTCTCTTGGGTGTGCCACTGCAGTAGCCCATCCATCCACACTTCACTCTTGCCCTCGTTCGCTCTCGCTTCTCTCACTTGCCTTCGCCTCTTTACTCATCACCCTCCTTTTTCTTCCTTATCACACCTCCGTCCTTTCCCCCTCCTCCTCCCTTCCTCTCTCTGTCCTCTCTCGTCCCAGCGGGTCGCTCACATGGGAGAGGCAGTGGCGGGGGACATGGAATAGAGTGCACAGGCAGCAGCTGCTTTCCACCACAACCCAACCACAGCTAAGTACCCAGCCCTCCTCTTGCGTTTATTTTCATTCCATTCAGTCCTCACTGCATCTCCTGTCGTTGTGCATTCAAACGCAAGCCGTTGGTTGAGCCAACGCTTCATGCCACAGACCCGCTTTCTTGGGTAAATCCCCCCTGGTATTACAGCGCTCTCAGGTTTGCAGGTAAGCTTCCCCGGTGTGTACCCCCCTTGGGTCTGTGGCTTGTAGCTGAGGCTGCACCAGTGGCCCCCTTCTCTGCTCTCACCTGCCACCCCACCCCACCCATGCACCCCTAGACGCGTTCTCACTTCTCTTCAGTTCTCTCCTTGCTGGTTGTGGGGAGGGGCGTGGGGGTCAACACCACCGCTCCCTCGCGCTCCTCCCCTGTGGCCGTGCAGGTGGCAGTGGTCGGAGGGGAGGGGGGCAGCACTCCACTCGGCTGCGGTGGGAAGGGAGAGTATCGGGCTGGGTCGTCTGAAACAAGGTGAGCCTCTTCTCCCCTCCCTGCCACATATGCTTGAGTGTCTGTTCTTTCATTCTGTCTAGCTGTTGCTAACTCTTCTCCCCACCATGCTCACTGCTGTCCCTTGCTCCCTGCCTCTCTCACCCCCTCCCACAATCTTCCCCTCACTCATACAGAACTGGCAGTGGCGGGGGACATGGAGTGCACAGGCAGCAGCTTCTCTCCACCCAACCCACCCGCGGCTAAGTTCCTGCCCTGCCTCTCTACTCCCGTTCTCTCTTGTTTTCATTGCTGCATCTCCTGTTTCTTCTCGCTTCAAAAGCAAGCCTCTGGTTCAGCCAAAGCTTCAAGCCACAGACCCGTTTTTTCTAAGGTAGATCCCCCCTGGTACAGCAGGTATACTCTCAGGTTAAGCCTTCCTATGTATGTTTCCCCCTTGGGTCTGTGGCTTGTAACTGAGGTTGCACCAGTGGTCCCTTCCCCTCTGCTTCTTCTGATTGTATATTTTTTCACCCCCTCGCCTCTCCTCCAGTCACTCACAATTTCTATGTGGGCCATTGCAGGTGGGTGGGAGGGAGGGGCGTGGGGGTCAACACCGCCACTCCTTCACATCTCTCCCCTGTGGCTGTGCAGGTGGCTGTGGTGGGAGGGTAGAGGGGCAGCACTGCACTCGGCTGGGATTGGAAGGGAGAGTATCGGGCTGGGTTGTCTGATGCAAGGTGAGCCTCTTTTCCCCTCGCTTCAATTCTGCATTCTCGTCTTTGTCCACTCTTGTGTTCTTCGGTTTACTTGAGTGTTTCCTTGATGCCAACTTACTCGCTCCTCCTGCCCCTCCTCTCCTGTCCCTCCCCCTCCCCTCCCTCCCCCCCTCTAACTTTCTGCCCGCTACCAGGTCACTTGGCAACAAGAGACGATTGCAAAAGAGGAGCAGAGTAGCAGACCGGCAGCAGCAGTTGCAGCAGCAGAAGCAGCGGCGGCAGCAGCTGTAGCAGTGGTGGGGTTGAGGGGTTAGGGGGCAGGCTAGGCTAGCTGAAGCTGTGGGGAGGTGTGGTATCAGGTATGGTACGGTAGCAGGTGAGGTAAGGTATCAGGTGAGGTATGGTTGTCTGATTCTCTCCTCTCTCTTCCCCCTCCCCCCCATGTCTTTTTTGCAGCCTGAGAGTGGGAGCACTGAAGCAAGGACAGGAGAGTGAAGTCCACCCTCTCACTCACCTCCTCCTCTCTCCCTTTTCCCTTCCCTCCCAGCAGCACCCTACCTGGACCACAGTGGAATCCCCTCCTTCCGTTCATCCCCCCCTCCCTTCAATCACCCCCTCCCCAGCAGCCTAAGGCATCATGGCGCTCTGCATGGCTCTGGTAGGTAGAGGTAAGGAGGCATGGGGGTGAAGTGTGAGGTGGGTGGTTGGGTGGGAAGCATGGGAGTGAGTGGGCAGTTCACTGCCTTAGAGGCAGCACCTTCTGGGGTTGTGCGTTGTGGGTCGGGGTGTGGTGGGTGGAATCTGCGCCGCACGTCACTCTGTGCTCAAGTAACCGATCTGGCGTTCAAGGCCTAATGGACACCGTCAGAGCCGACCGGCCGGCGGCTCTGGTTCGCGTCAGCTCTGGCTACGTCAGGGGTGGGATTTGAGTCTTGGGCTGGAAGCAATTTTCCAGTACCACTCCTCACCCTGCAAGGCACAACCCCCTGGGGTTGTTGTTTCCGAAGGGGAGTGGGCTGTCTGCTGCTCCTACTGCTATTAGTTGAGTTTGGGAAAGAGCTGGTTGGGCTGGGTGGTGATGGTGGTGAGAGGCAGTGGGGTTGGCAGTGGCACATGATGAGCCCTATGGCACTGATGCTACCTGTTGCATGAGAGCATGATGCTCATTTGGGTGGCATGGGATGAGCCCTAGGGCACTGATGCCACCTGTTGCATGACATCATGATGCTCATTTGGGTGGCATGGGATGAATCCCCATGGGCAAGGGAGTGCAAGAGAAGAAGGTTGAATCCCCAAGGTTGGGTGAGTGGAAGTGGTTGTGACTGTGAAGTGTGAGTGGTGTTAAGTGTGATTCCACACGATGCCACTGCACCACCATCACTCCCACCATCACCCTCCATCACCATTCCTCACCACCACCACAATGCTGGGAAAGCAGGATGAAACCCAGCCTCAGGATTGTGGGAGGCAAGATAGGGGGTTGAAGTCCCCAGATTTAGTTAAGCCAGTGTGAAACAGAAACATTCCTGTTTAGCCTTGGCATGTCGTCGATGCCTCCTTGAGGCAAGGCAGTGTGACACAGGGACCCGCCTTCCCTCCTTAGCCTGCCTAGGGGCTTCAACTCCGGCTTCTTGCTGCTCTTCTGGCTTAAAGCCAGTGCCTCTTTCTTTCATCTCCAATCTGTAGCTACTCTGCCGCTTTTCCCTCCACTCCTTGATCCATGCGGCGGTACCGGTTGCTGAGAATGGTAGTGGTGGTAGTGGGGAACGGTGGTGGTGGAGTGGGGGGTGGGGGGGGGGGTGGGGGGGTGGGGGGGTGGTAGTCGTGATGGGAGTGGTAACGTGCTGTGTGGCATGCCATGCTGTGGCAACGCATGGTTTCTGGCATTGGAGGCAGGTTTTAGATACGTCTCAAACGTCTGGCAACATGTGGTGGCTGGTAGCCTGGTACTGGAGGTTGGAGGCTTGTATTGGAGCTCAACTATGTGGGCCAAGGCAAGATATGCAATGCGGCCAAGGCAGTGTACGACCAGTACGGGATGTACGGTACTGTCCCCAAATTTGTTTATCATACAATGCTGAATGATAGCAACTGCTTATATTTCAAGTTATGGTGTAAGAAAGTTCCTTATAGCAATGTTTGTGCAACTTTGAAGTGGTGTATAATACTTTTAGGATATTTCTCATTGTTGAACCGTAGCGCAGCAGGTCTTGCGACGGATGGATAGCACCGCGTTGCACCTGCGGAAACTGCTTATTTTGTAGCTGATTCCTGCACCATCCGCGCTTCGACTCTTTACCAGCTGACAGGTCCCATCGCTAGCGTAGAATGCGCCTCGCCGCTCAGCACCTCATGCGCCGCATTCTGAGCGTCTCGTCATCGCCGCCAGCCGCTCGAGCAGCGTCAGCAGACGTGTTCGTGGTGAAACCGCTTTTATTAGTCGACTAAGGATTCAACGCCACCGCGGGTCATGCCAGTGGCGAAACTGCTTTAATAAGTCAGACTTTAATGTGAACGCGCCAGCGAGCGCGGCATGTCGGCGGAGCAGCTGCTGTTCTAAGTCAGTCTTAGAAATCAACGCTGCTCCGCGGAAATGTCGGCGGCGGAGCTGCTTCTGCGCGTGCCGGTGCTGCTCTGCGCGGCGTCGCTCGAGCTCCTAGGTTACGCGTCTTCCGCGCTCGTCTTCCTCGCCGGCCTCCTCGCCGGCTTCGCCGCCGCTTACCTCCTCCTCATCTACCCGCTGCCGCTCACCGTCAAGGTAGCCTGCTAGCCGTTAGGTTACCGTTCTGGCCGTTAATGTACCGCCTCGCCGTCGCGGTACTCTTGTCGTCGTGAAGGTGCCTCTTTTGCCGTCAATTCGCGTCCCTCTCCTCCCTCTTCCCCCTCCCTCCCCGCGCCCCCTCCCCCTCTCCCCCGCCCAACCCCCTGCGCGCGCGGGGCAGGAGGTGGAGCAGCGCGCGGCGCCGGCGGAGGGGCTGGACGAGAAGGCGCTGAGAAGGTTCTTCGTGCATCTGCCGCCGTGGGTCAGCAACCCCGACTATGAGCGGGTGAGCGCGCTGGGGGGAGGCAGTCAGTGACGGGTGAGCGCGCTGGGGGGAGGCAGTCAGTAAGGGAAGGTCAATGTGGCTCCATCCATTGCTGTTGCGCCTGGTGATTGTACCGCAGTGTGCCTTCATCTTATCCGTCCTTGTGTCCCCCACACAACCCTCGGTCCCCTCTCTCTCGCCCCGCCCCATGCACACGTCCCTGTCGCCCGCACGGCAGGTGGATTGGCTCAATCGGATCGTGGCGGAGATGTGGCCATATGTCAACAAGGTGTGCCTTTTGTTCTATGCGCCTCAAGCATAGTTATAGCTGTATGGTGGCAAGGTGCGCTTTGCGCCCCTCAAATCAAACCACTCACCCTCTCACCCACACCCACCCACTTGCTGCATGCTCTTCCTTCACATGGTGTATGGGGCACATGCTGCTGCTTATGATTCTGTTTACAGTCGTTTTCTCTGCTATCTAGCCGAGCACAGAGAGAATGGGGAAGAAAGTGGCTCCTTTGCTTCTCTGCATCGCTCCTCCCCTCCCCGCCCCTCTCTCTCCCCCACCAGGCGGTGTCAGAGGCTGTTCGGAGGGACGTGACGCCTCTGCTCAGCACGGCACCACACACTCTGTGCTCTCTTTCCCTCCCCCCTTCCCACTCCACTTTCCCTCTTTTCCCTTCTCTCCCCCACCAGGCGGTATCAGAGGCGGTGCAGAGGGATGTGACGCCTCTGCTGCCCTCCACACCGCCTCTTGCCTTACACCACTCCCAGCCTCACCACTTCTCCCCTCTCCCCCATCTCGCCCCCACCAGGCGGTATCAGAGGCAGTGCAGAGGGACGTGACACCTCTGCTGCTTGAAAACAAGCCCTCGTTCCTGCACTCCCTCTCCTTCTCCCACTTCTCCCTCGGCCCCCTCCCACCAGCCATCATCGGTGCGTGCCCCTCTCTCACTTCTGGCCTCACCCATCACCATCAGATCAGTGTGTGTGCCATAAAGTCAAATTACCCATTTTGTTTAGGGTTTAGGTCACCACCACCATCACAACACTTGTCAACTCATCCGATTTCATTTCATCCCATCCCAACCGCCATCCGCTCTTGCGTCAGCACATCAACACATCCGTCTCACCCCACCCACGTCACCAACCCCCCCTCTCATCCCCCCCGCACCAGCCATCAAGTCCCAGGAAACCCACGACAACGAGGCGATCACCCAACCTGCTGCCAAGCCCATGCCATGACACCAACTCGCATCAGCTCTCATCAACACTCACACCTCCTCTTCCCCCCCACCCTCCTCCCTCCTACCAACAAACCACCAGCCATCAAGTCCCCGGAAGTACACGGCGAGGCAATCATCCAACCCGCTGCCGAGCCCATGCCACCAACTCTCACAAACTCTCATCAACTCTCACAACCATCAAGCATCCCCCCTCCCCACACCCTCCCCGCCAGCCATCAAGTCCCCGGGGACCCACGACGATGAGGTGCTCATTCAGCCGGTCATGCGCTGCCAACTCCTATCAGCCCGCACAATGCCCCCTTCCCTCCCCCCTCCACTTCCTCCTCCTCCCTCCGCCCACCAGCCATCAAGTCCCTGGAGACGCATGATGACGAGGTGATCATCCAGCCGGTCATGCGGTGGGCGGCCAACAACAACATCGCCGTCACTGCCTCCCTGCATGGCCTTGACCTCTCCGTACAGGTGCACCCTCTCACCTCGCTGCTCCCTCCTGATGCCCCTTCTTGCTCCTCGTTCCTCCCTCCCATGCTCCCTGCTCCTCCCCTCGTATGTCCGCTCACTATACAGTCTACGTACCAGTAAGTCAAAACATCACATGCACTTCACCCTTACCCCGTTCTCCAATTCCCCCATTCCTCATCCGCCACCCTCATTTTCGATTCTCCACATCCCTATCCCCCGTTTCGCATCCATTCCCCATCCCCCATCCGCGATCTTCCCCGTCCCCTTATTGCTCCTCCGCCGCACAGCTGACGGATCTGCATGTGAGGGCAGTGGCGCGCATCACAGTGAAGCCGCTCGTGCCGATCTTCCCCTGCTTCTCGCGCATCACCCTCGCACTCATGGACAAGGTGCGTGCCTAGAGGCCAAACTGGGCAAACGGGGCCCTCTCGTGGGCACACGTGGTGCCCGTATTGGTCAATGCGTTCTTACACTTCTCTGGACACCACGTGTGCCCACGAGAGACCCAGACTTCTCTCAGAAATCGCTCAAAAGGGCCAAACAGGACAAAGGGTGCGTCGTGAGCACACGGTGCTCATATTTGCCGACGCGCTTTGTGGACAGTCCCCGTGTGCGAGTCATTTTTGAGAAATTTAAAAAATGCTCACTGCTGCCACTCGTTGCTCACATTCCGTCCCACCCCAACCAAGCACTCATCTCTCCGCCTCTCCACTGCTGCACCCCTTTTCAGTAAGCCCATGCCACTCTGACCCATGCCACTCTGACCCATGCCACTCTGACCCATGCCACTCTGACCCATGCCACTCTGACCCATGCCACTCTGACCCATGCCACTCTGACCCATGCCACTCTGACCCATGCCACTCTGACCCAGGCCACTCTGACCCATGCCACTCTGACCCATGCCACTCTGACCCATGCCACTCTGACCCATGCCACTCTGACCCATGCCACTCTGACCCAGGCCACTCTGACCCATGCCACTCTGACCCATGCCACTCTGACCCATGCCACTCTGACCCAGGCCACTCTGACCCATGCCACTCTGACCCATGCCACTCTGACCCATGCCACTCTGACCCATGCCACTCTGACCCAGGCCACTCTGCTGCTGCTCCCCGTATATGAGTTCTGTGACTGGACATCATAGCCACTCTGACCCATGCCAACCTCGCTCTCTCCTTCTATCCACCACGCCCTCCCTCATGCGTCTTACATCCCCCCCACCGCCAGCCCCACAGGGACTTTGCTCTGCGGGTGCTGGGACTGAACATCATGGCCCTTCTGACCCACGCATTCCTCGCTCTCTCCTGCTCTCCCCCCCCCCCCCCCCCCCTCTCCCCACTGCGTCCTGTCACCCCTCCCCTGCCCCCATCACCCCCATCACCCCCATCACCGCCATCACCCCCATCACCCCCATCACCCCCATCACCGCCATCACCGCCATCACCGCCATCACCCCCATCACCCCCATCACCCCCATCACTCCCATCACCCCCATCACCCCCATCACCCCCATCATCCCCATCACCCCCATCACCCCCATCACCCCCATCACTCCCATCACCCCCATCACCCCCATCACCCCCATCACCCCCATCACCCCCATCACCCCCATCACCCCCATCACCCCCATCACCGCCATCACCCCCATCACCGCCATCACCCCCATCACCGCCATCACCCCCATCACCGCCATCACCCCCATCACCCCCATCACCCCCATCACCCCCATCACCCCCATCACCCCCATCACCCCCATCACTGCCATCACCCCCATCACCGCCATCACCCACATCACCGCCATCACCCCCATCACCCCCATCACCCCCATCACCCCCATCACCGCCATCACCCCCATCACCCCCATCACCCCCATCACCCCCATCACCCCCATCACCCCCATCACCCCCATCACTCCCATCACCCCCATCACCGCCATCACCCCCATCACCGCCATCACCCCCATCACCGCCATCACCCCCATCACCCCCATCACCCCCATCACCCCCATCACCCCCATCACCCCCATCACCCCCATCACCGCCATCACCCCCATCACCGCCATCACCCCCATCACCGCCATCACCCCCATCACCCCCATCACCCCCATCACCCCCATCACCGCCATCACCCCCATCACCCCCATCACCCCCATCACCGCCATCACCGCCATCACCGCCATCACCCCCATCACCCCCATCACCCCCATCACCCCCATCACCCCCATCACTCCCATCACCCCCATCACCCCCATCACCCCCATCACCCCCATCACCCCCATCACCCCCATCACCCCCATCACCCCCATCACCCCCATCACTCCCATCACCCCCATCACCGCCATCACCCCCATCACCGCCATCACCCCCATCACCGCCATCACCCCCATCACCGCCATCACCCCCATCACCCCCATCACCCCCATCACCCCCATCACCCCCATCACCCCCATCACCCCCATCACCGCCATCACCCCCATCACCGCCATCACCCCCATCACCGCCATCACCCCCATCACCCCCATCACCCCCATCACCCCCATCACCGCCATCACCCCCATCACCCCCATCACCCCCATCACCCCCATCACCCCCATCACCCCCATCACCCCCATCACTCCCATCACCCCCATCACCGCCATCACCCCATCACCGCCATCACCCCCATCACCGCCATCACCCCCATCACCGCCATCACCCCCATCACCCCCATCACCCCCATCACCCCCATCACCCCCATCACCCCCATCACCCCCATCACCGCCATCACCCCCATCACCGCCATCACCCCCATCACCGCCATCACCCCCATCACCCCCATCACCCCCATCACCCCCATCACCCCCATCACCGCCATCACCCCCATCACCCCCATCACCCCCATCACCCCCATCACCCCCATCACCCCCATCACCCCCATCACCCCCATCACCCCCATCACCCCCATCACCCCCATCACCCCCATCACCCCCATCACCCCCATCACTCCCATCACCCCCATCACCGCCATCACCCCCATCACCGCCATCACCCCCATCACCGCCATCACCCCCATCACCGCCATCACCCCCATCACCCCCATCACCCCCATCACCCCCATCACCCCCATCACCCCCATCACCCCCATCACCGCCATCACCCCCATCACCGCCATCACCCCCATCACCGCCATCACCCCCATCACCCCCATCACCCCCATCACCCCCATCACCCCCATCACCGCCATCACCCCCATCACCCCCATCACCCCCATCACCCCCATCACCCCCATCACCGCCATCACCCCCATCACCCCCATCACCCCCATCACCCCCATCACCCCCATCACCCCCATCACCCCCATCACTGCCAGCCCCATGTGGACTTCGCTCTCCGAGTGCTGGGCCTCGATGTCATGGCCATTCCTGGCCTCTGCAACCTCGCTCAGGTGCCCCATGCCCCATGCTCCATGCTCCATGCCCCATGCCCCATGCTCCATGCTCCATGCCCCCATGCCCCATGCCCAATGCCCCCATGCCCCATGCCCATTCCCCATACCCCATACCCCATACCCCATGCCCCATGCCCCCATGCCCCATGCCACATGCCCCATGCCCATGCCCCATGCCCATTCCCCATACCCCAAGCCCCATACCCCATGCCCCATGCCCCATGCCCCATGCGCCATGCCCCATGCCCCATGCGCCATGCCCCATGGTCCATGCCCCATGCCCCATGGGCCATGCCCCATGCCCCATGCCCCATGCGCCATGCCCCATGCCTCGTGATTTCATGCAATGTGATGCCATGCTGTAGGCTTCATGGCCATTCTACGACCTCCACAACTCCCTTTGTTCCGCTGCCCTGCCCTATGCCCAAACCCGTGCTCTTGTCATTGCCCGCGCCCATGCCCTTGCCCACCCCCATGCCATCATAGAATCTGATATCAGACGCCATAGCGGACCTGTACCTGTGGCCCAAGACCATCGAGCTGTACCACGAGGAGCCCAAGTGAGTCTCCCTCTCACCACCGCCGTGCTCGCTCCCTCACCCATTCCTTCACATCACCCTCGTGGTCCAGCCCACACTGACCTCTTGCCTGCCCCTATAGCGGACCTGTACCTGTGGCCCAAGACCATCGAGCTGTACCACGAGGAGCCCAAGTGAGTCTCCCTCTCACCACCGCCGTTCTCGCTCCCTCACCCATTCCTTCACATCACCCTCGTGGTCCAGCCCACACTGACCTCTTGCCTGCCCCTATAGCGGACCTGTACCTGTGGCCCAAGACCATCGAGCTGTACCACAAAGAGCCCAAGTGAGTGCCTTGCTCTTCAACGCCTGCTCACCATCCTTCGTGTGACCTATTTCTGCTCTGCCACCCCATACCACCCAATTCCCATATGTGCTCCCCTTTCCTCCTGCTCCCTGCGCTTTGCACCCTGCTCCCTGCCCCTTTCCATCCTTCGTGCCCCTTGGCCCTGAGCGGCATAGGTTGGCAGTGGGGTGGCTAACAATAAGCGCCATGCAAGCCAGCAATCTGCGAAGCCTGGGGCTGGTGGGCACCAGCGATTCCTACCTGCACTTCTGCCTCTGCACCACCCGTCTGCTTCATGTGCTGTTTCATGCCCCTTCACGCGTGCCCCGTGTGCCCTGCTCCACCCCCTAGGCTGGCAGTGGGATGGCTGACAATAACCGCCATGCGAGCCAGCAATCTGCGCAACCAGGGGCTGGTGGGCACCAGCGACCCCTACCTGCACTTCTACCTGACGAGCAGCCTGGGCAGCCGCGAGTCGAGTGTGCGGGACAACGACCTCAACCCCGACTGGGGGGACGAGGAGTTAAGACTTAAAGTGCTGGATCCCGCCACCCAGAAGCTGCACGTGGAGGTGTTTGACAAGAACACGGTGAGAGGAACGCAGCATGGGCAGCCTGGGAGCGAAGCTGGGTGGGGTATCCCGGTATCCCGGTATCCCGGTTTCCCGGTATCCTGGTATCCCGGTATCCCGGTTTCTTGGTTTCCCGGTTTCCCCCGGTATCCCGGTATCCCGGTTTCCCGGTTTCCCGGTATCCCGGTTTCCCGGTATCCCGGTTTCCCGGTATCCCGGTATCCCGGTATCCCGGTTTCCCGGTTTCACGGTTTCCCGGTATCCCGGTCTCCCGGTCTCCCGGTCTCCCGGTATCCCGGTCTCCCGGTATCCCGGTATCCCGGTTTCCCGGTATCTCGGTCTCCCGGTATCCCGGTATCCCGGTTTCCCGGTCTCCCGGTCTCCCGGTATACCGGTTTCCCAGTATCCCGGTTTCCCGGTATCCCGGTTTCCCGGTATCCCGGTTTCCCAGTATCCCGGTATCCCGGTTTCCCGGTATCCCGGTTTCCCGGTATCCCGGTATCCTGGTCTCCCGGTATCCCGGTATCCCGGTATCCCAGTCTCCCGGTACCCCGGAATCCCGATAGCCCGGTCTCCCGGTCTCCTGGTATCCCGGTCTCCTGGTATCCCGGTCTCCCGGTATCCTGGTTTCCCGGTATCCCGATATCCCGGTATCCCGGTATCCCGGTATCCCGGTATCCCGTTATCCCGGTTTGCTGGTATCTCGGTTTCCTGGTATCCCGGTATCCCGGTATCCCGGTTTCCCGGTATCCCGGTATCCTGGTTTCCCGGTTTTCCGGTATCCCGGTCTGTTTCCCGGTTTCCCGGTATTCCGGTATCCCGGTATCCCGGTATCCCGGTATCCCGGTATCCCGGTTTCCCGGTTTCCCGTTATCCGGGTATCCGGGTATCCCGGTATCCCGCTATCCCGGTATCCCGCTATCCCGGTTTCCCGGTATCCCGGTATCCCGGTTATCCCGGTATCCCGGTGTCCCGGTTTCCAGGTATCCCGGTATCCCGGTATCCCGGTCTCCCAGTCTCCCGGTCTCTCGGTTTCCCAGTATCCCGGTGTCCCGGTTTCCAGGTATCCCGGTAACCGGGTATCCCGGTAACCGGGTATCCCGGTATCCCGGTTTCTCGGTTTCCCGGTATCCAGGTATCCCGGTATCCCGGTATCCCGGTATCCCGGTATCCCGGTTTCCCGGTATCTCGGTTTCCCGGTATCCCGGTATCCAGGTATCCCGATATCCCGGTAACCGGGTATCCCGGTATCCCGGTATCCCGGTAACCGGGTATCCCGGTTTCCCGGTATCCCGGTATCCCGGTATCCCGGTTTCCCGGTATCTCGGTTTCCCGGTATCCCGGTATCCAGGTATCCCGGTATCCCGGTAACCGGGTATCCCGGTATCCCGGTATCCCGGTATCCCGGTATCCCGGTTTCCCGGTATCCCGGTTTCCCAGTATCCCGGTATCCCGGTGTCCCGGTTTCCCGGTTTCCCGGTATCCCGGTATCCCGGTAACCGGGTATCCCGGTATCCCGGTATCCCGGTTTCACGGTTTCCCGGTTTCCCGGTATCCCGGTTTCCCGTTATCCGGGTATCCCGGTTTCCCGGTATCCCGGTATCCCGGTATCCCGGTTTCCCGGTATCCCGGTTTCCCGGTATCTCGGTTTCCCGGTATCCCGGTATCCAGGTATCCCGGTATCCCGGTATCCCGGTTTCCCGGTTTCCCGGTTTCCCGGTATCCCGGTTTCCCGGTATCTCGGTTTCCCGGTATCCCGGTATCCCGTTATCCCGGTTTGCTGGTATCTCAGTTTCCCGGTATCCCGGTATCCCGGTATCCCGGTTTCCCGGTATCCCGGTATCCCGGTATCCCGGTTTCCCGGTTTCCCGGTATCCGGGTATCCGGGTATCCCGGTATCCCGCTATCCCGGTTTCCCGGTATCCCGGTATCCCGGTTATCCCGGTATCCCGGTATCCCGGTGTCCCGGTTTCCAGGTATCCCGGTATCCCGGTATCCCGGTCTCCCGGTCTCCCGGTCTCTCGGTTTCCCGGTATCCCGGTATCCCGGTATCCCGGTATCCCGGTATCCAGGTATCCCGGTAACCGGGTATCCCGGTATCCCGGTTTCTCGGTTTCCCGGTATCCAGGTATCCCGGTATCCCGGTAACCCGGTATCCCGGTAACTCGGTATCCCGGTATCCTGGTTTCCCGGTATCTCGGTTTCCCGGTATCCTGGTATCAAGGTATCCCGGTATCCCGGTAACCGGGTATCCCGGTATCCCGGTATCCCGGTATCCCGGTATCCTGGTATCCCGGTTTCCCGGTTTCCCGGTATCCCGGTATCCCGGTATCCCGGTTTCCCGGTTTCCCGGTTTCCCGGTATCCCGGTATCCCGGTATCCCGGTTTCCCGGTTTCCCGGTTTCCCGGTATCCCGGTATCCCGGTATCCCGGTATCCTGGTTTCACGTTATCCCGGTATCCCGGTATCCCGGTGTCCCAATTTCCAGGTATTCCGGTATCCCGGTATCCCGGTCTCCCGGTCTCCCGGTCTCTCGGTTTCCCGGTATCCCGGTGTCCCAGTTTCCAGGTATCCCGGTAACCGAGTATCCCGGTATCCCAGTTTCTCGGTTTCCCGGTATCCAGGTATCCCGGCATCCCGGTATCCCGGTATCCCGGTTTCCCGGTTTCCCGGTTTCCCGTTATCCCGGTTTCCTGGTATCTCGGTTTCCCGGTATCCCGGTATCCCGTTATCCTGGTTTGCTGGTATCTCGGTTTCCCGGTATCCCGGTATCCCGGTATCCCGGTTTCCCGGTATCCCGGTATCCCGGTATCCCGGTTTCCCGGTTTCCCGGTATCCCGGTATCCCGGTTTCCCGGTTTCCCGGTTTCCCAGTATTCCGGTATCCCGGTATCCCGGTATCCCGGTATCCCGGTTTCCCGGTTTCCCGTTATCCGGGTATCCGGGTATCCCGGTATCCCGCTATCCCGGTATCCTGGTATCCCGGTATCCCGGTGTCCCGGTTTCCAGGTATCCCGGTATCCCGGTCTCCCGGTCTCCCGGTCTCTCGGTTTCCCGGTATCCCGGTGTCCCAGTTTCCAGGTATCCCGGTAACCGGGTATCCCGGTATCCCGGTTTCTCGGTTTCCCGGTATCCAGGTATCCCGGTATCCCGGTATCCCGGTATCCCGGTATCCCGGTATCCCAGTTTCCCGGTATCTCGGTTTCCCGGTATCCCGGTATCCAGGTATCCCGGTATCACGGTAACCGGGTATCCCGGTATCCCGGTAACCGGGTATCCCGGTTTCCCGGTATCCCGGTATCCGGGTTTCCCGGTATCTCGGTTTCCCGGTATCCCGGTATCCAGGTATCCCGGTATCCCGGTAACCGGGTATCCCGGTATCCCGGTATCCCGGTTTCCCGGTTTCCCGGTTTCCCAGTATCCCGGTTTCCCGTTATCCGGGTATCCCGGTTTCCCGGTATCCCGGTATCCCGGTTTCCCGGTTTCCCGGTATCCCGGTTTCCCGGTTTCCCGGTTTCCCGGTATCCCGGTGTCCCGGTTTCCCGGTATCCCGGTTTCCCGGTATCTCGGTTTCCCGGTATCCCGGTATCCAGGTATCCCGGTATCCCGGTAACCGGGTATCCCGGTATCCCGGTATCCCGGTTTCCCGGTATCCCGGTTTCCTGTTATCCGGGTATCCCGGTTTCCCGGTACCCCGGTGTCCCGGTTTCCCGGTATCCCGGTTTCCCGGTATCTCGGTTTCCCGGTATCCCGGTATCCAGGTATCCCGGTATCCCGGTAACCGGGTATCCCGGTAACCGGGTATCCCGGTATCACGGTATCCCGGTTTCCCGGTTTCCCGGTTTCCCGGTATCCCGGTATCCCGGTTTCCCGGTATCTCGGTTTCCCGGTATCCAGGTATCCCGGTATCCAGGTATCCCGGTATCCCGGTAACCGGGTATCCCGGTATCTCGGTTTCCCGGTATCCAGGTATCCCGGTATCCGGGTATCTCGGTTTCCCCGTATTCCGGTACCCCGGTATCTCGGTTTCCCGGTATCCCGGTATCCCGATATCCAGGTTTCCCGGTTTCCCGGTTTCCCGGTATCCCGGTTTCCCGGTATCTCCGTTTCCCAGTATCCCGGTATCCAGGGATCCCGGTATCCCGGTAACCGGGTATCCCGGTATCCCAGTATCCCGGTATCCCGGTATCTCGGTATCTCGGTATCCCAGTATCCTGGTATCCCAGTATCTCGGTATCTCGGTATCTCGGTATCTCGGTATCCAGGTATCCCAGTATCCCGGTATCCCGGTTTCCCGGTATCTCGGTTTCCCGGTATCCCGGTATCCAGGTATCCCGGTATCCCGGTAACCGGGTATCCCGGTATCCCGGTATCCCGGTAACCGGGTATCCCGGTTTCCCAGTATCCCGGTATCCCGGTTTCCCGGTATCTCGGTTTCCCGGTACCCCGGTATCCAGGTATCCCAGTATCCCGGTAACCGGGTATCCCGGTATCCCGGTATCCCGGTTTCCCGGTTTCCCGTTTTCCTGGTATCCCGGTTTCCCGTTATCCGGGTATCCCGGTTTCCCAGTATCCCGGTATCCCGGTATCCCGGTATCCCGGTCTCCCGGTCTCCCGGTTTCCCGGTATCCCGGTATCCCGGTATCCCGGTTTCCCGGTATCTCGGTTTCCCAGTATCCCGGTATCCAGGGATCCCGGTATCCCGGTAACCGGGTATTTTGGTATCCCGGTATCCCGGTATCCCGGTTTCCCAGTATCCCGGTTTCCCGGTATCTCGGTTTCCCGGTATCCCGTTATCCAGGTATCCCGGTATCCCGGTAACCGGGTATCCCGGTATCCCGGTATCCCGGAATCCCGGTTTCCAGGTTTCCCGGTATCCCGGTTTCCCGTTATCCCGGTATCCCGGTATCCCGGTATCCTGGTTTCCCGGTATCCCGGTTTCCCGGTATCCCGGTATCCAGGTATCCCGGTATCCCGGTAACCGGGTATCCCGGTATCCCGGTATCCCGGTAACCGGGT